AGTGTTGTAGGTAGGAATAATGGTAAAATTTCATTGCATTAGCTCGAGCGTGAGACATCAAACGGAGCGCATCTAACAATGTTAACATGTAGGAAAGGACTTTTAAATTTGAAAATGAGATAAAAAGAAATTATAACAAGCTGTTCATTTGTTCTTTCGTTCACTTTATTCGTTCATTCATTTGTTCATTCATTCATTCATTCATTCATTCATTCAATTTTTGTTCATTCATTCATTCATTCATTCATTCATTCATTCATTCATTCATTCATTCATTCATTCATTCATTCATTCATTCATTCATTCATTTGCTCGCTCATTTTTGTAAGTGTGTATGTGTATATATGTATATGCAAGCACACATGTTCAGTACACACACACATACACACACGTACACACACATACACACGCACATGTACAAACACACACACACATACATACATACAATCTCTTCAGGGACCCGGCTTTTCTCGATTGATGGTGAATATCTAGATTCCTATTATTTTTGTTGGAAATTATGTATGCATGTATGTTTGTATGTATGTGTGCGTCTGTTTGTGTATGTATGTGTGTGTGTGTATATATATGTATGTATGTGTGTGTATGTGTGTGTGTGTGCGCGCGCGTAGCTGGCTAATTATTTTCAAATGTGTGCAGATAGGCTTACAATTTTTTTGGCTCTCTGGAAATTTTTACTCTTTGCAGCCTAACTATGATGATGATGATGATGAAGATGATGATGAAGACTATGGTAGTAATAATAATAAATTAATAATTATAATTATAATAAAATAATAATAATAATAACGCCTGTACTGCTATTAATGAGGTTGATAGCTTAACAACCATTGACAAATAGATGACATCAAAAACATTATCAGCTCGTTAACGAACCCGAAACCCGACGGATCATAAAGTGGTAAAGTGGGGTTCTATCAGACAACTTTATCTAATTAAAATAACGTTTGTCTGTCTGTTAGCGTGTATGTCTGTTTGTGTGTGTGTGTGTGTGCGTGCGTATGTGTATGTGTGCGTGTATGTATGTGCGTGTATGTGTGCGTTTATGTATGTATGTATGTGTGTGTGTTGTGTGTGAGTGTGTGTGTCCTCAAAGGAATGTGTTGACTTACAAAGGCTTACAAAATTAAGTAGGCAATGTAATTTATTAAGTAATAGTATAAAAGATGGAAAGAAAGAAGAATTATAAAAAAGCAAAAAGTGAAAGAGAGAAAGAGAGTGAGAGATCGGGCGAGAGTTAATTAACCAAAAGCTGAGAAATTAAATCGGTCCCATCAATTTGTTACGGCCGAGTTGACGTTTGGAGGGAGAGAGGTAGAGAGAGAGAGATATAGGATATATATAGAGAGAGAGAGGGAGAGAGAAAGAGAGAGGGAGGGAGTAGGAGAGAGAAAGAAAGAGAACCTAACATAGTCAGTTATAATATAACGTATACGTAGATAATAAAATTATAGCATGACGTAGTAGAAACATATTTTATCTATGGCGAACATTGGCTACGCATTACTATTTTTATCAATAATGACCTTGATAGCAAATTGACGATGATGATGACGGTGATGTTGTTGATGGTGATGATGATGCTGTTCTTCATCATAATCATCATCATCATCAACAACGACATCATCATCATAATCTCGCCACCAAGTACAAGGATTTTTGTTACCTTCATGCATACGCAACACGCTGTGGGATCAATTAAACTAATACAAAAGTCTTCAAAATACACAACTTCATTTTAAATAGGGTACTTTTGTTTGTTTGTATGTATGTATGTTTGTATGTTTGTATGTATGTATGTATGCATGTATGTATGTATGTGTGTATGTATGTTTATACCTCTTACACGATGTATGAAAATAATTGGTTACGTAATTAAAACAATTCTCGATTGTCCGCGCTGAGTAAGAAAACAAGATCACTATCAAGAAAAACATTTGTCAATATTATTATTAATATTATAATTATAATAATAATTATTATATTATTATTATTATTATTATTATTATTATTATTACTATTACTATCACCATCATCAGCGTTTCTAGTCAGTGACATTCATCATTAAGATTGTAATTGTCATACTTTCTTGATATAAAGTGATACTGCTTCTACTACTACTACTACTACTACTACTACCACTACTACTCTTACTACTACTACTACTACTACCACTACTACTCCTACTACTACTACTACTACTACTACTACCACTACTGCTACTACTACCACTGCCACTACTACTACTACTACAACTACTCCTACTACAACCCCTACTACTACCATTACTACCACCACCAACACCAACACCACTACTACTACCACTACTACTAATAATAATGACAATAATAATATTAATAATAACAAAAATAATAATAACAATGATGAAGATGACGACGATGACGTCAACGCTGATTATTATGAACTGTCCCATGAAAGCTCATGCCACACAGCTGGAAAGCCCTGAACGTGCCATTGATACAATTACACACACGTGCACACACACACATACACACAAACATACACATACACACACTCATTCACACATGCATATGTAGGTGCATACATACATACATACAGTCCTATATCAATTGTTGAAGTGTCGGGCAACGAGAGATGCGAGATTATCCTATTTTTCAGTGGGAGGTGATGATACTGAGGGTGATACTGATGTTGATACTGACGATGACGACGACGACAACAAAGATGATGAAGAAGATGATAATGATGATGAAGATGCTGACGGCGATGACGACGAAGAAGATGATGATGAAGACCAACAAAGAAATAAGTGATGATGGAATCAGCCATGTGTATCGAACTCTACTTCACGCTCCAGCAAGCACGCTCACGTACACACGCACGCACACAAATACACAAATAAACACACGGGCACGCACACGCACACACACACGCACACACATACGTAGGATTTATGTATTTATATTATCAATCACAAATAAATGCATGTCTACTACACATGTTCAAAGTGAAAAATTCATAAATTCACACACACACACAAACACACACACACAAACAAACAAGCCAACACACAAAAATACACACACACATGCATGCATGCTTAGTAATGATAAAATACTACATGCAAATATGTTTACACGTGCATATAATTGAAAATACTGTTGAATTACCTTTTGTATACACCGTATGCACTGATGTTAACATTTTTGATCAATTTTATAAAAATTAAACGTTAATATTAATTTATCGCAATTTATGCGTTTGATAAATTTATAATTTTATTGTATTTATGTCAATTTTTGTAAAGATTTTGGTGTTAAACGTGAAAAATGCGGCGCCTTATCATTTATTTACATACGCCAATTTTATTCTCGATTCTTTTTTATTAACATAAAATAGGCAATTTTTATTGTTTAAATTGTTTATTCTTAAATTAGTAACTTTAAAATGGCGATTTTTCGGAAATAAACAGACTTCGTTGATGTTTCTTCAGTACTCAATTTTTTTTTATTTTAAAAAATGTTTATTACGCCGTAAAAAATAATTGAACATTTTTGAAAATTTAAAATAAAAATTCCCAATTCTGATTCTCCTGGCAGAATATTAATAAGAGAAATCAGAAATCACTAATAACACTTGACTTGAAGATCTTCTCCATCATCGCCTAACTAAATAAATTAGTCACAATGTCGGGGACAGATGCTCCAGCATCACCAGATATCCCACTCAGCAAAGGTGCCTATCAGATTGATTGGGATAACTTTGATGACAGCATTAACCCTTTTCAGGCTCGAACAAAAGTCAATAACTCTCCACCACCCCAATCGTCATCAACACAACAACCACCTTCAACAACTTCAAATATAAAAATTAAATCATCAAAATTAGTGAAAACCAGTGGCAACATTAAAAGGCCAACACCCACACACCCAAATAATGTTGAAAAAAATGTTGAAATCAACAATAGCCCCAGCAGCACTGCCAACCAGAATGGTTGCTGTAGTACATCACAACCTACAACAAATTTTGAAATGTCACAACAATTAATAGTTCAAAAATCAACCACCATCACTGACAAGCCCAAGCCCCAGAGTGCCAATCTGCCCATTATCAACAACAGCAACAAAGTTAGGAAGTTAGTAGCGCCATCTTCAGCTGGGGACTTAATAAAGAAACAGCAGCAAACAGTGCTAAGACAACAGAATCCCTTAATCATAAAAACCAATGGTTTTTTTGCAATAATTAATAATAATGATAATACTGGAGTCGACAGTGCTATTACAGATATCAATGATGTGATTGTTGGAGTTGAAAACATTAATTCTAACGTTATATCATCAAGCAAACTTAACAAAGTTACTGTCATCAGAAGTTCTTCAGCACAGCAACAACAGCTCAGTGACAACAACAATAATGACAACAACCTCAATGACCCATTTAAACCGGCTACATTGCTCAGCCAATCAGATTCTGCATTTAATAGGTCAAGTGATGATTTAGGGTCAGTTGGGGCCAACAGTAATAATAATAATAATAATAATTCAGTTATTGGCAAAAATAATGATATAACTGAGTTTGGCGATAGTGAATTTCATCAACAAGAGTTACCATTAGGAATAAAGTAAGATTTTCATTGAATTGACAATTCATTTATTCATTTATTTATTCATTTGTTTGTTCATTTTTTTTGTTAAAAAATCATTTTTCAATTTTTCTTACGATCAATTAATTTTTTATACACACTTTGATTCAACAATTGATAGAAGAAAGCCCATACTGTCCAGTACTTTTAGGAAATCAAAATCACCGAAGGTGATGGAAAAATGAATGGATGGGTAAATGAATGAATGGATGGATGAAAAAATGAATATTTGAATGAAGATGATTGACTGATTGAATGAATGAATCACTTTAAAATTAACTGTTAGATGCATAACTAAATACACACAATGGTATTAAAATGTCATACTTATAATCATAGAACACAGAGAACAATGATCATGATACTAGTTTAACTCCATCATCAACAACAACAACAACATCTAACAACAATGATCATGATAACGTCATTGCTGCTGCTACTACTACTACTACTACTGCCGCTGCTGCTGCTGCTGCTACTTCTACAACTACTACAGATAATAGCAACAACATCAGTAGCATCAATAGTACACCTTATGTTACGCCTACTGCCACACCAATTAATGAGATTAATGTCAGCGCTGACAATGCAGATGGCAATTCAGATGACATTAACAATGTTAACAATGATGATGGTAGTAAGAATAGGGACAATAGATCTATTGAAAAAGATATTGTTGATGTCATTGATGATTCAATTTTCAACAACAACAACAAAAACGCTAACAACAGTACAGATTTGGTTACACCAGTGGCCGCAAGCACAGCACTAAATATCGCAGCAGCGACAGCAGTAGCTGCAATGGCGTCAACTACGTTATCGCAAAATGAGATATCGATTGATTCCGGCTTCTGCCAGCTCTCCCTATCAACGTCATCATCTTCTTCTGTTACTTTTAAAACACCATTCGATTTTAATACAAATATTCCTACTACTACAACTGATAACGATGCTAATGATGCTAATGATGCTGCTACTACTACTACTACAACTACTACTACTACTACTACTACTACTACTACTACTACTATTAAGAATGGTGGTACCGCTTCTGTCGCTACTGCACAAGCTGATACAGTGGCTGCACAAGCTGATACAGTGGCTGCTACGGCGTCAACTGTCGTTAATAATAATACTTGTGGTAATGCTAATAATAATTGTAGTATTAGTAGTAGCAAGAAGGATGATGTCGATGATGGTAATGTTTTTAGGGATTGTGATGATGTCGCTTTCAAGGATGCTACTCCTTGTAAGTTTGTGTTGTTGTTGCTGTTGTTGTTGTTGTTGTTATCATCATTATCATGACGAT